ACTCGGAGGTGACTGAACCGTGGCTTCTGTTTGTGGGCACTGGGGCCACAGGGCTCGCCTCAGCTCTGTGCTGATGTATACCCTGACGCTGGCAGATAGGAAACAGATGCAGCTCAGCTCCTGTAGGAACCATGTGGATGCCATCCTTGAAATGTGTCCACTGAGACTGACCTACAGACATACTACCTTACAGATATTCCAGTGGCGGAAAATTCCAATAGGAAGAGATCTTCACAGAGAGCGCATCCCACTAACCGTACCCTGAGGGATGTGATAAGCTCCAAGTCTGCAACAGGTCCCTAGTAGAGAATTTCCAACCAGTCGATGCTTCTGCTATGGGTTCTTGCCCCCTCGTTTGACTTGAAGTCTGCTGACACACACTGACCTAATGCATGGGGCCACAGATGTAAACTAAACACTTGATTTTGTCTGGATGGATCACCCTGGATTCTCCTCATTTGTTCAAGACCTGATGCAAACCAGTTCCTCTGAAATTGCAGAGGTAATATAGTGTGGCCACTGGGAAGATCGGTTCTGAGGCCATACACCACCTCTGCTGCTTTCTAGTTCTATGGCCTTGAAAAATTACCTGAACTCTCCATGCTTTAGTTTATGCACCTGCAAGATAGGGATGATGTTAATACCATTCTCATTTTAATGAGTTTTTATGTATAAATACTGAACAGTGCCTGGCACATACATAGTCCATGCTCCATAGATGTTAGCTATTTTATTTCTGACTCTTGGCTTTGCCTCTTCTGTCTTCTTAAAGGGAAGTCTGCCCTTCAGACTTAAGAGTTTGTATTTGGTTTATGTTGCTTGACACCTGGCCACTTCTCAAGGACTTTGGATTAGAGCTTGATGGTTTGGATACTTAGATAAAATTTCTCTTTACAGCTAATTTCTGGAAACCTGATTTCTGGCATCAGCCTTCCAGGCAATCTGGTTCTCTGAATTCAGACATGGTTTTTACCAGCCAGATGTCTGTGGTAGAGAACCCTTATTCATGCCCATTAGTTTGAAGGCTTCTTGACATATTGGCTCCTTCCTCCCAGAAAATGGTCTTTGAGATTCAACATATCAGCCTGTGGAAAGTTCACAGGGATACACTAGGGACTCAATAAATATTTCTGACCACCTCTCCAGTCCCTTTTCTAGGCCCAGCTAACTGGTCTTGTAGTATTTTTAGCCTCTAATTTGTAAGAGTGGTGTCAGGTCATCAATTTGCCCTCTGGCTAAGGACAGTTTCTCAGAAGAGGGAGTCACCTGGGGTGCATCCTGGGCCACTCCCTGAGCTGGCATTTACTTGAGCATACCATGTGTCTCAGTGGGATTGGGTGAACTGAAGCCTATCACCTCCCAAGCCTTACCTCTCTATTTGGCAAACCTGGGCAAATATACCTTCTTGCATCTGAGAACTCTTAAGAAGTGCTTTAGAAAGAGGTTCTGGGAAACACAATCAATAATAACAAATATTATACCCATGTGTTGCAGTCATACATGGAAACTATGATCCTGAACAGTGGTTCTGTACATCGTCCAGGTGGCAGAACACCTGGAAATCACACAACACCATGATCATTATACAGGCCTAGTACAAAAGACACAGTTAATCCCAGTATCTGAAGTAGGTATGACTTTTATGAGCAGAAAATATGACTAGATTGCTGGGTATAAATGCAATGGAAAACCAGAGCAAGGTAATTCAAATCTATAAAAAATACATCATGACTTAAGCACAATCACCTATTTCTGAATCTTTCCACTAACATTATTTGCAGCTTTTTCATTAATTTGGTCACTGGCAGGTGCACATGAAGGACCAATAAGAGCAGGGTCCCAGAGGTTCAAAAGAGAACAGGGGTAAAGTGAGAAAATCTTATCCATTAACTTTTTTTTTCTAAATCTGTTATTTGATTTTTACAGAGGAATATATATATATATATATACATATATATATATATATGTGTGTGTGTGTGTGTGTGTGTGTGTGTGTATATATAATATATTACTTTACTCAGATCTTTATTTTCAACAAATTAGACTTATTTTCACCCTTAAAACTAAAAATTAACAGGTTAAAACCTCTATCACTACATGGTTACTTCCCTGCATGGATGAAACTCATATTTTTAGTCCAGAAGTAACTAATTTTAGTCCTGAACTAATTTAACTGTCCCCATCCTTATGAGAGGATGCCAACATAACAGAATAAGTTTTTCCTTCCTTCCTTCCTTCCTTCCTCCCTCCCTCCCTCCCTCCCTCTGTCCTTCTCTCTCTTTCTTTCTTTCTTTCTTTCTTTCTTTCTTTCTTTACAGAGGAATATTTTAGACAAGTGGAGAAACGGCAGTATTTGTAATCTGAGATTGCTCCAAGTGATGAGAAGGTTGGATTGAGGTAGGGGAGGTGGATAATAACAACTTTTCTTTTATGAACTATTAATTCCCTGACTCATTCCTCTCTCTTGTGTTTCTACAGAGGTCTCTCCTATGTGAGGCCATTCTAATCCCTTGGGTGGATAAATCAAGGGTTTTATCAAAGTTGTCTTTTACTGGCAACTCTCAGACTCTTGACATCTGAGCTGCAGAAAAGGACATTCCATTGTTCCTTCTTTGCTTTTACAAAGATTCCTAGCACATCTTCTTAAAGCTAGACCTATGGGGTCATTTTTATCTCACTCCCTGGACCCTTCTCTCAAGCATCCCTTTGAGGTTCTTTCTTAAGTACACTCCCTTTCCTTAGGTTGTCCCTTATGTTTCTCCTTAAAGAGTTGTAGCTTGCCTTTTATTCTTCATGGTCCATGTTTCTGTTTTCCTAGTTAATGGAAACTGGAATTAGACTAGGCCGAACAGGTTTCAGTCATGTCCCCACATAAGAACCAAGGAAATTTTGCTACACTAATGTTCCTAAGGTTCATTGCAATGCATGGGGAATCAGTGACCAATAGTCTGACCAGATCAGAAAACCAGCATTCCACAAAATGGGATTTTTTTCCTCAAACATCTGATATTCCAAGAGCCCCTTCCCAGGAAAGAGGCCCAGGACTATTTCTTTCACTTTGTCATGTGTAAACCATGTAGATTTGTTACCCTGACCACAATTCATTGGACCATGAATTTGTACAGAGCTATGGACAAAGAGCTGTGTTTTGGACATAAGAGAGTCCAGGGACCTAGAGGATGTTTCACACAAAGACTCTTCCCACTGGAATGTCCTATAATGGGTAGTGACCAACCACCTCAATCTGTTCTTTCTACATTGGAAATAATGGAGGTGTGGTGCATTTCAGCATGGCACAGAAGATACAAGACAGACAGAAGTGGAGGCATGTGTAGTAACTGGACTGGAGGGCAGGGCTCATCTCTCTCTGAGTTGCAAGTGTGGAAGACTGGCTCCAGTCAGAGGTGTTTCTTGGCACTTACAAAGGTACGGCAGGATGAAAACATTCCGGGCTATACCTCTGGGTCACTTTTATATGCTGAATATTCTTCCTCTTCATAATGCCTGCCTATGTTATTGCTCAGAGGGTTTTCTCTGTTTTCTTAGTCTTCCAAGTACTTTTAAAATAATTTCCTATCAGCTGAGGTAACTTAAGTATTCCTCTTTTCTTGGCACCCCGAAAAAGTCACCATCACCGGGATATGCCACACAATTTCCTTTGGAATTTTCCCTCCTAGATATGAGCTATGGTTGAAATCAAAGACTAAAATATGAAAAAGCATAGACTATCCAATAATCCTTATGAGTTTCTGTTAAAATATGATATTGTATTTTCACACGTACACTGCTAAATGTTGATCATTCCAAGCTACAGAGATAACAGACTGGGAAATGTTAAAACACAAAAAAGACTAATGTAGGTAGAGCTTCTGATAGCTGATGTGGGGACCTATTTGGAACCCCAGAGTTGGTATAAAGATTATTTTAAGCTGAAGATATTTGAGATTCGACAGATGCAAACAAACAAATAAACAAACAACCCCCAAAACAAAAGTCATCCTTCTTGGATCTTCCCTTATTTGACTAAAGGCAGAAATTTCTGAGAAATGAGGACAGCCATAAACTCCCTCCTCAGGGTGGGTAACCTCTCAGAAGAAAGACCAAAAGTAAATCTACTGTTAAATCCCCTCTCCTGGGAAGTTTTAGGGCCCTGAAGAAGATGGAAAGACCACTCATTCTTGTATAGATGAGCATTATCACAAACTTTCTTATCTTCTGTTTGTTCTCCCCCCAAAAACATTTGTCTTTCCTACAGAAACCGATTTGTTCTTCCCATAGGAGCTTCTCCTTCCCACTCTCTTTCCCATACTAAATTAGGTAAACAAGTCCCAAACTATAAACCAGTCTTTTCAATCACTCATCACTGAGTATGCCCATGTGTATGTGGTTTGCACATATAAGTAAAATTTTTCTCCTATTAATCTGTCTTTTGACAATTTAATCCCTAAACTCCAGCTACTAAACTGAGGGTAGAGGAAAAGTTCTTCCTCCTACCCAATAAACAATTTACTTAAGCTTACTTAAATATAGTTCTTCTCATTTTTAATTGAAGTCTATTTCAGTCAACTTAAACAGAGGGAATTTGATCTTCAAGAATTTTTGAATTGCTAGACCTTCCCTTTGCATTACAAATAAAGGCTCAGTCCTCTCCTTTGGACTACTCCAAAGATTAAAACAACAACAACAACAACAAAACAAGCACAAAAACAAAAACAAAAAAATACAAGGAAGAAAACCAATTCAGTCAAGCCAAAAGATCTACACATTTAAGGCCAATCACCTCTACCAACTGTGATTACTAATGGAAGTCTGTTGAGAATGCCACTTTCTAATCCACAGAGTTTTGCTCAAACTGAAGAGTAAAGGAAGATAACACCCCAGTTACTGCTCCTCCCCTTCCCCCTTGTCCACAAACATGTTTCTGCAAATCACAAACCTTTGAGCAAATAATAATAAATTCAGTCACATATAAATTTTAATTAATATATGTTTTGTTTTACCTTAGTTAGGCATTCCCATCAGTATCCAAGAAGAAGACTGTAACTGAAGCTTTCTTGTGAGTTGCAATACTGTTTATCCTGGGTATAAGAAAACACAGAAAAACATGTAAACTCAGAGACTGCTTACTTTTAAATCTGGTGGTCCACAGTTTACAGAAGGGAGTAAGGGATGGAAAAATGAACAAGGTTTCTTCGTGGAAATGATACAGGACAGCTAGCTGCAGTAGGCTGCCTAAAAACCCAAAACAAACAAACAAAACAAAACACACAACAACAACAACAACAAAGTAAACACTAAAAGACAGTTTTCTTAGATCTTTTTAAAAAATGATTTCTGGGAATGTAGGTGGGCAGGGACTATATCTTGTGAGGGAGAGGAAAGAGGTTTTTGTGTCAGAAATGCCTTGGCCAAATGATTTAATTTCTCAGACTTTTGTTTTCCTCATCTGTAAAATGAGGGCAACAATACCTACCCCTTAGCCCTGTGCCAAGGATTAAGTAGAAGACAGGAAAGCTCTCCCCACAGTGCCTTAGGTAGTGGGTACTGCCTGTGTATTAATGCTTCCTTCTGCGGTCCCCTCCCCCAGCCTTTGCTTCTCTTGTAATTACTTCTAACACCTTTTCACAGTGTTAGCTCCATGGCATTTAACTAAAACAAAACAAAACAAAAAACCAAACAGGATATCTCAGTGACTTCCAAACAGCTACTTTAAAAATTGAAAAAAAAGAGAGGGAGAGAGAGATGACACTCAACTTCATATATAGTAAGAACAAATGATTGCATTGAATGCTTCCCATATGCTAAGCTCTGTACTAATAATTTTATATCAGTCCTCTCTTTAGCCTTTAAAACAAACAGATTAGAAACTGTGATATGAGAAAATGGGGGCATGGAGCAGTGACGTCCCTTTTTGCAGCCTGCACAGCCCTCCGGAGGCCAAGCTGGGACCTGAGTCTACCTCGTTCACCTCTATGCACCCACTTCACCAACTCGTCACTTGGGTTCCACCATAACCTGCACCACAGGATTGCCATGTACCCCAAAAGATGCCATGCGCTCAATGTCATTATTGTCTTCCCCCTTCCCGCCCTCCCTCTCTCCTTTCCTTCTTTCCACGTTTATTTATTTATTTAATTATTTAAAGATTATTTATTTATTTGACAGACAGCGATCACAAGCAGGCAGAGAGGAAGGCAGATAGAGAGGGGGAAGCAGGCTCCTTGCTGAGCAGAGAGCCTGATGCGGGGCTCCATCCCAGGACTCTTGGATCATGACCTGAAGAGAGAGGCTTTAACCCACTGAGTCACCCAGGACCCCCTCAACGTTTATTTTTATCTAAATTTAATCACTGTTTTGTTTACTTTGTTCCTCTGTTCTGCTCTGACAGACTAGGGTAGAACACTGATAACTCTTAGATAACTGGTTCCCCCCTCTTGGACTCAGCCTTTTCTTAGCTGTGTCATCTCAGATGGGTCACTTAACTTCTTTGAACCTTAGGGTTTTCTCTTCCACAAAACTAATGCATCAGGCAAGATGATGCCAACAGGCCTTTTCCAGTTTACGGGTCCTATGACCGGCTACTTTGTGAGCAGTTTCAGATCATTCTAGCAGCAACATCTTCATGGTACCTAACAGGTTGTGGACTATAACAGACTCACAGGTTTTCTTGCTTTAGCTTAATAAACTCAAATTCCCTACTTCTGGGAGGAGTCCTTGATATTTATATATACTCTTTAAAGAGCTTGCAAATGAGGATACTGATGTTCAAAGAGGTTAGGTCACTTACAGAAGTGGTGGAGACAAGATTTGAATTCAAGTTTGTGTGTCCCTCATGTCCTTTGCAATAGCCCAAGCCTACCAGAAAGTATGGAAAAGTTAAATGACCCAATTTAGTCTCATTTGTGATATGTGACTTAAAATTTAGGGCAGTAATGATAACAATAACTGGCATGCATTGTGAGATGATGATGATGATGATGATCTCCTCACTAGGCCTTCCCATCATAGTAAGTGCCAGGTACTATAATCATCCTCTTTTGAAAGATGAGAAAACAGAGGCACAAGGACTAAGATTACTTGCCCAAGACACAGGGCTAGTAAGTAGAGGATCTAGGATTTTTTTTTTTCTATTTTTAAATCATGGTTTATTGTTTCAGCTAAATTACTGGCTCAGGTCATGATTTATTATGCTCACTGGTACGTGGCTGTTATGATGCATTTACAAGTTAATAAACAGCAGTTGTGAATATGGGACAAAAAATTTACAGGTTGGTGTGAGGGTAACCACAAAGACAGGCACTCAGTTGTTTAGTAATTCACATACTCCAGTAAAGGAGAAGGATTTCTGTAGGATTCAGAAGGATTTGCCAGAGGCTATTGAGAACCTGCCTCCTGAACCATTTCCCCATTAAAATTGCCTGCTATTGCCTTTCTGTCTGGGAACCAGGAAAGAAATGACAAAGTGAATTTCAGGGGACACTGTTTGTCAGTGAGGTGTGCAGCGTGTCCTTCACACTTAGGGAGTCAGTCCTACGTGCTATCTTGGGCAAAGGGAACCTGAGCTCCAAGGAGAAAGCAGGTAAAGCAAGCAGCCGATGAAGAAGCTCTATTTATCTAGCTGGGTCCAGATTTACTGAGAAAATGACTTCCAGATGCATTCCAAACACGGTGTCATGATTAGGATGGAGAAAACAGTCAAGTTTATTTGGCTTCTGTGGGGGATTTGTTTGTATATTCTAATTGCATCATCGTTTAGCTTTATTTCATCTGGAACCTGACTGCCAAATGAGCATATTGATTACCTGTCATGGATGCATATTTCTCAATTAACAGCCATCAAGGCTTATAAAATCTCAACTACGTCAAGACCCACGAGCAGAGTTTAGTACAACTGTGAGTAGTCACGCCAGCCGCTTTTCATGGTGTATCTGCCACGACGCTGGTACCTACCTGTCACATAAGCTGGTTTAAGTCTCACCCCCTCCTTCACACTATATATCATTATCTTTCTATCTTTTAAGTGAGGAGACAGAGGCTCAGGGAAATTAAAACACTTGCCTCAGGCAGCACAATCAGTAAGTGGTGGAGTAAGGATTTTAACTTGTATACATAACAATTCAAATTCCACCGGGCTTTGTGGCACACACAGGCAGGGCAGTGTGCTGGTGATGCCCCACCACTTGGCTGTAAGTCCAGCTCTGTCACTTGCTACTTCCATGGTCTTGAGCAAGTTTCTGAATATCTCTGTGTCTCAGCTTCCTCATTTGTAGAGCCAAGGAAACCATAGTCCAGAGATGGTTAAGATTAAATGAACTACCCCATGTATAGTATTAAGACGAGTGTCTGAGATAAGGAGGCACCATTATTTTACATCCTCTGGATGTTGTGAGGAACAAACTATAAATCTTTGACCTTCAGCAACTTGCTGGAGGCACTTTGTACTTCCAAAGACTTTGCAACAATTCAATTTTCCTCACAGCAGCCTAGTGCTTCAGGTCAGACGATTGCTCTCCCCTCTAAGACTAACACATGGGGACTCACTATGCCAGAATATTTTCAGTCCACACAATTCATGATCCTCCTTATCACATCTGAGGACACACATAATACTCTTATTGGCTTATCTACCCACGTGCTTTGGATACCTTAGGTTGACCCCTTATAACAACCTCACAACTTGGTGCTATTAGCTCCACTTCACAGATGAAGGTGAGATGGGCCATAAAATTGAGATAATTTGCCTAAATTCATATGTGGTATGCAGCAAGACCAGATTTGAAGACAAATCTGAATGGATCCTAAATTTGTGTCTTTGTCTCCAAACCTTGACACTTAAGCTGTGATAATTTCTCCTTATACTCATGGTGAACTTCTACTCCTCCTCCTACTCAGTCATGATTTCTCCTTGTACCCATGGTGAACTTCTACAACCTCCCTGAGATTCAATGCCTCCCTGGTTTTGATCTGTTGAACACATATTTTACAGAGCACTTTCTATGTTCTGCTCTACTGGATGCTGTGTGAACAGGGATAAACACAAATGTGGTCTCTGCATGAAGCTCACAGCCTTAGGGGGTGGTATACAATTACACACTTGATATGTCCTAAGAAGAAAATGATGGAAGATTCTAGAATGGGGGGGGGGAAGAAAAGGAGGGTAACAGGCCAATAGATGGCTTCGGGCTCCCTGAGGAAATGACATTTCAGCTGAGATGACAATGAGAAAGAGGCAACATGTGGAGAGAAAGGGGTTTCTGGCAGAGGAGGAGCATGTGAACAGATTCTGGGACAAAACAAGAGCATGGGAACCAGATGAAAGCACACCCGTGGGAGAGAATGAGGGAGAAGGGTGGAGACGGGGATAGGAATTTGGGCAAGAGGCTGGGCCATGGCCCACCATAAGGTATTGACTTCCGAGTCCCACAGCGCCTTGTGCAGCCCTCGCTGGGAGACAAGTCGTTATCACGTTGCATTGTCATTATGTGCTTTTGTGTCTATTTCCCATCTAGACCATGACCTTCATAGGAGCCCAAGACACCGTTTGGGCCAAAGCAGACATTCAGCAAATTGAACAAATGAACAAACTGCATCTGCTAATGCTGCAATCTTGTAAGATTCTTACTGAAAGAGAGAATAATCGAGCTGGAGTAAAAAATGAAAGGTGTGCTTTTGTTCCTGGCTAAGAATCAAATCAACCAAATGTCTTCATATATATATTTAGATTTATGTAAAGGTAGGTAGGCATTATATATTAATAATCATAGCCAACATTAATCACTCAACACTGGATTCAATGCTTCCTATGCAACCTATTTAGCTTTTGTGAAAATAAATATGAAGTAGTTATTGTTAATCCCCATTTAGAGAGAAAACAACAACATAAAAATACATAATAACAACGATAACAAAACTAGAGCAGAGTTTTAATAAATTACCTGGGGTAAAAAAAGAGTACTTGTGGCACCCCAGTTTGTACCCAGACATTTTGTTCAAAGAGTCTATACATTTGGCCACTTTATGATAATATCTCTCAGGATACTTATCTGTGGAATTTTTCAAAGTTTAAAAATATAAAATGTAATGTATAAAATAGTAGTCATTGACAGGAAACCAGTTATGGGAAATATAAAAAATAGAAACAATGCATTTGTAGCAATAGTGAGTGGTTACTAAAAAGATAAAATTTGATAGAATCTCACTGATAATGACTAGAAAACAACACAGAAAAAGGAAAGCACACCATGCATTAGATCTGTGCATTAGTTTTAACTTCTTTATTTTTATTATGTTGCCTGTATGTCACATAAAAACTAGCAGGAAAAGGAAAGCAATGGGGGGTACAATTTCCTAGGAATGGCAGACCAAGAGACTGGGTAAACAAGCCAATATTTGCATTCTTCATGCTTTTTCTCTTACTAGTCCCAGTTGACTATGTCTGGAAGGTCTTCTTTATCCTCCTGCTATCTGAATAACTCCTAATCATTCTTCCAACACCTAGATCAAATTCCTCTCAGTCTGGGAAGCCCTACCTGACCTTCCAGGTTCCCACCAGACCATCCATTTCCTTCTTACAGTTTATAAAATGTTATAGCATAACTTTTTCTGATTTATCAAATGCAGAAACCAAGCCCTACATCTAGTAGGCAGTTTATGTCATTGCTGAGTAAGCAAATGAATTAATTATTTTGCTCAATCATCTCTTTCAATGCAAATGCTAAAGGCAGTGAGCAAAGGGAAATTATTCAAGTGTGCCAGACACTGATCTGGACACTTGGTTTGAATTACTACATTTAGTATTCACAAAAGAGTTATTGAATGTGTAGCTCTATCCCCATTTTATAGATGGGGAAACAGCCTCAAGGAAGATAAATTGTTCACATTAGTGAGAATTAATTTTGCATTCTTGAGGGAGATAGGACAAGTCAGGGAAAACACAAAGTGCTGGAGTCTTGGGGAGAGATTAAAAATAATAATAATAGGAGGAAATAATGCTTAGTAGCATTTGGAATGAGAGCGAGGTGAAGTCTCTGGTCCCATGGCCCCAGGCTGCTCTGAGGCAGGTGAGCACAGAAGTTAAGAGCAGGATTGCTGAGCCAGCCTGCTTTGGTTTGAATCCCGCCTCTACTACTACCTACCCATGTGACCCTGGGCAAATTGCATAACCTTTTTGAGATTCAGTTTACCCATCTGTAAAGTGGGGATGATAATGGTAGCATTTACCTTCCAAGGATATTCTGAGGATTAAATGAGGTAACATATGTGATGTTAGTCATCCTCTAGCACTTAGGAAGTCCAACAGTGTGAATGGACTATTGTTTTTCAATGCTTTCGTCAGAAACAAAGGAAAAGATAGTTGCAAGTTAAATAATGTGTCTCCTTGTCAGACGCAGACAAATGAATGCATTGTTAATTATAAAAAAAACAACAAAACAAAACACAACACTTGGTTGACATGACATGAAAGCTACTGTTTGTTGAATGACATGAAAGCTACCGATAAGGCAGCACTCACTCTACAAGGCACCATGCCAAGGTTGGCAGCACCACCTTGGTGATCCTCACAAGACCACTAGGAGGTAGGGCTCTTTTAAACATTTTTTTTTTTTTAAATAAATACCATTCATTTTACACTGAGTAAAATAAGGGTCGGAGAACTGATATGACTTGACCGTGGTCACAAACTATGTGTACGAGCCAGGATCCAAACCCAAATTTGTCTTGTGTCAAAACTTGTGTCCACAGCCTCATGCTGGGCTTACCCCCCAGGTCCATTTCTTCTTCCTCCAGAGAGTTTGTCAGCTGCTGCATTATCCTGACTATGAAAAATGCCCTCCAACAACCAAAGGCAGGAGAAGAGGGAGCTAATTTATTCTGCATTGTTCCAGAGGAGGGCACAGAGAACATAGCATAAAAGCAAGGAACTTTAGTCCAACATTAGAAAAGATCTTTAGCGATAATGAAGCACCTGTGGAAGAAAGGAATCATCACTGGACTTCGGAGCCAGAGAGGTGTTGAATTTCCTCTGCATTTCTTACCAGCTAGGGCAACAAATAAACACACATTCTCCAGTCCTCAGTTTTCTCATCTGCATAGCTAATATAAGAATTCTTAATTCAACTGGTTGTTTGGAGAATAAGATTAGATTATAGACAGAAACTGCTGAGAGTAGACTATGTGTTTGCTCCTTCCATTTACCCAACCTTTTAAGCAATTAGAGCTGTTCAATAATGCAGTGGAAGTATTTATCCCCATCCCCATTCCCTACCACTGGAAGTACACACGCAGTGGAGTGGCTAAATGATAGGACCCTGTACTGCCAACCCAAACCTCACCAGACAGAAGAACTTCAAGGACCCTCCAAACCTAAGCTGCTATGGAATTAGGAAGGACAGATAATGTGGTAGATGGTTAAACAAAGATTCAAGATAACCTCAACAGTTTGAGCAGGGAGTTAAAGTTAAGGCAATGAAATTGAACAGGGTAAGTATCAAAAAATATTTGCATTTAAATTAGAAATAAATAAGAGCAATAACAACATACTTGCTTGCAGAGAATGGCAGAGATATGATTTGGCCATGGTGCAAGTGAAAACATGCAAGGTTTTTTTCCTTTTGTTTTGTTTTGTTTTATCAATCACCAGCTTAAAATGTGACTTGATTTCTAAAACAAATCTAAATTCCATTTTTAGAGATTCCAGATCTGGGCCAGGGAACTAATTGTCCCACTATATTGTGCATACCTTACTGGGGGAAAATTTACTTCCGAAGTCAGCATATAAGTGAAAATTTTCATATTATCAAAACTAACTTTGAAAAATCCTTACTTTACATGAAAAAGTACAGTATACATGATTTATGTATACAACCCTATTTGGTAGCTCTTATGCTCAACAGAATTTAAGTCCTGCAGGGCTAAATTCTGCCCACAATAGAAGTCCAACCATTTTATCTTTTAAAAATTAAGCAAACCTGTAATGGTGAATGGGCATTGAAGAATTGTGAAGTGTTCCTTCTTGTCTTCAAGGTTTACTTAATTTAAAAAAAATTAAGCTTTTATAACTTATAGATTGTAATACAGATTAAATGAGATAATATATAACAGTCTTAACTGAGCATTAAATTTTAAGAGGAAAATTGAGAAATCAAAGATTGGTGACCAGAGACTGGAGACTGAGCCATAAAGCAGGATTCAGTAAACTATAGCCTTGGGCAAAGGGTGGATGGCAGCCTGTGTTGTTACACCTGAAGTGAAGAAGTTTTGTTGTTGTTGTTGTTTGTTTGTTTTTTGTTTTTGTTTTTTTTAAGATTATTAAAAGGTTGTAAAAAAGAAAAAAAAAAAAAAAGAAGAGTAAGAACAGTATGTACCAGAGACCATTTGTGGTCTGCAAAGTCTAACATATTTACTCTCTGGCCTTTTACAGAAAAATTTTGCTGATCCTGGCCATAGAATGTGTCACTGGAGATTCCCCACACCCAAGGAGAAGACCCATCTCCTATCCCTGAGTTTACGACCACACTCCCTCACAAGCCCCTTCTCCACTGTCAGCTTCTCTAGTAGCTCCACAGTTACCTTTTGCTCTTGAAATACTAAATGGTCTGTAGTTCTTCACCCCAGGCATACTATTTCATTCTTCTGGGTTTTTGCTGGCCCTGTTCCCCTGTAAAATTCTTCTCCTCTGTACTCAAGAGTACACAGGCAGACTGCTTTCTTCTTAACCAACTCTAATTAAATGCATCTGTTCCTTCATGGCCTGTCCTAGAATCTAGAGTCTTAGATGGTAAACTCCTATAAAAATAACTCAAATTATTCATCTGTGCCTATTCATCTGACACCTAACACTGTCCCTTAAACCTGGTAGGCTCTCAGTCAATATTTTCTAAACAGAGATAAATATGTTTAAATATTAACAGAGCTGTCGGTGCAAGAAGAAGTGGACTGCTTTGGGGAGACTTCACAAAGCAAAAATGGGAACAGGGAGGAAAAATTATAGTTAGGAAGGAAGTGACTTGTCCAAATTCCTACTGAGACCAGAATAGACAAAGGAGCAGATTTTATCCTCAAGAAGACCTGACTTTGAACCCTGACAACATGTCTGGATTCTGAGCTGAGACTTCAAAGCAAGAGACTTGCCTTTAGAACCAGTTTTCTTAAGTGTAGCCCAGAGATTTTAACCCCTGCCTTGTAGGGACAGGAAGATTAAGACCATGTGAATTAGAAAAGCTGACACGAAGTCTTGCCTGTAGTAGGTAATCGGTTCCTTTTTACCCCTTTTTAATTCCTCATACCATCAGGTTTCTCCCTAATGCCAACTCTCCCTACAGCACCTGAAAAAAAGAAACCCATGTGAATTTCCAACGTAAGTGCTCCAAACATTTCATCAAAGTTTCCCCTGACTTAATATACCACCCCTAGAAGATAAACACTAGGGTTCTGTCAACAAAGGCAGGCTATGCATCCACAGAAGACAGTTCATAGTAATTTTGTCAGCAAAATTGTAACAATAAAGGCCCAAACAACACTTCATCTCCCTGTCAGTTGTCTTGAAAGGGCAGATTACTTTTTCCTCAATCTTGGCACATCCAATTAAGGTAGACTTACAAGCCAGGCAGGTGTAAAGTGCAAGCCAGCACTTGTTCACATTAGCAATTATCAATGGAAAACTCCGTGAATGCGAAGGCTTGGCACCACTGTTGCCTGGCAACCATCAGCCTGCAGAGGCAGGGCGGACAATGACATGAAAGCTTGACATCTTTGACCTGAAAAAAGATGGTTTCTCTTTCTCCATTTTTTTCCCATTTATTCTTTGTGTTTGTCATTGCGAGTTCCCAAATCAAACACTTTGTATCACCTGCCTGGCATTTGGGAATCTACCCAAGATTTAAACTGGCAATTATACATCTCTGATGAACATGTTTTGAACACCTAGTATGTGCCAGGCATTGCGTAAGGAAAGCAACTTTCAATCTAGAAAAGTAAACTCACTTTCCTTTCCTTCCTTCCTTCCTTCTTTTTTTTTTTCTTTCTTCCTTCTTTCCTTTTCATATACATTCATTCAACAAAACAATATTGAGGGACTTGTGTGTGCCAAGCACTATGCTTGACATAGCTGAGGCAGAGACTAATGTGGGGAATGAAGACAAAAGGAAAACATTAAATTTCCATACTATTAACAGACCATTGACAAGTTCTTGAAACAGGCAGAGTGACCTTCTTCTGGGAATTCAGCTGGCCCCATGTTGACACATTTTGCTAAGAGCAAAAGGCAATCTTAGCCAGAACCCCCAGGATCCTGTAAGTCTACTTTAACACATAAAAATTCCTTTGGAAACTTCCTTTATCTCTACTGCTCACCCCAAGATACCAACCCACTCTAAACATATGGCCCATTGATATACATCTGAATGGTTTCTTGACTAGTGTTGTACTAGACAGTAATAAATGAACTTTTCCTAACAATAGCTAGCCCCCTCAAGGTCCAGGAAACCTTCCTTCCAAATTCCTCAGAGACTTTTGTGGTTCCTAACACCCTCCCAACTTGAAAGTATTTAATCAGTCACCCACCACAAGCCCAGGGCAGCTCTTTCTGCCCACAGGACCTGTCCCCATGTATTAGTAAAACCACCTTTTTGCACTGAAGTCATCTCAAGAATTTCTTGGCTCTAAACCCCAACGTTTCCATATCAGAGATGACTGAGAATTAGTCTGTCCCCTCAGGAAGTTCTCAGTTACATTGATAAGGCATAAGAACACAAGAACCATAGGTAAAGGCAAATGTGTTCTATAAGAAAGGTAAAAAATGATGTCTTACAAAAATGTTATAAGCGCACACACACACACACAACAAAAGAAAATGCTTCAGAGATTTGAAAAGATAGAATGTCAAAATAAAAATGTCACGTATTATCCTTATAATTCATATTGCTAATTCATTCTTTAACCTACTCATTCATTTATTCACACACATATTTTTGGATGATGTAGGGTAAAAGAAGCCCAATGGAGAATAATAAGTTTGGAAAAGAGGACAAGGAACAGAAAGAGAAAGGATGGGTAAGGACAGGCTAGGGAGGAATCTGTATTTATAAAGCCCCAGGTACAGGCCAGACAGTGTGTCTGGTTGAGTTTGACTTCCATAAAACTTAGACAGTTTTATCCATCTTCTTGTTCTTCTTTCTCCTCTTCCTCTTATTAATATTGTTATTGTTGTTAATTCCTTTTCACAGATTACCAGATGAGGAAATTTTGTCTCAGGAAGCCTAACTCTCCTGGAATCATAATGTCTA